TATGCAGTTTTCCTATATACATTTGAATTGTGGGAATTTAATACTGCCTAAACAAATTGTACTATTTTTATGAAAATTTCATAAAATCTCAATTTATTTTTTTTTATTTTTTAATAAAATTATTTTAAAAATTCAAATCTTTTAACAATTGAATTCAAATTTACAATTTTATCAGAATTTTAAATAACATTATTTAAAACTTGTATTAATTTTAAGAAGATTTCAATTAATGTGTTTATTTTTCAATAAAATTTATTTTAAAAATTCAAGTATCTTTGAACAACAGATTTAAAATTTCTTTGAAATAAAATTGATTTGACTTTTCCCTTAATTTCTCTGACTTATGGTTCATAAAATTTATTTTTCTGGCAACAAGAATTACACTATCTGTCACTTTTCAAAACACTTTTTAGGTTAGGGTACGTTAACCGACTGTTAACACACGTTAACTGACCTCTTGTGGCCGGTTAGAGTTAACATCGGTTAAATCGAGATAACGTTCCGTTAAAAGTTGGTGAAACGCAAGTAGAAATTTGACGGTTCGTTAATGTCTTAATCGAGGTTGGTGGAACCGGGCATAAGTATTTTAACTTATATCTATAGTTCTCTGGATTGTAAAATGGTGTTGTAGACCCACTTTTTAATTGTTATAAACAAATTATATAAACAAATAGACATTTAAGACGATGGCTTTCAAAAAGCTTAAAGAAACTCGTTACTCGGGGGTTTTTGGGGTCGCTGATTACGAATATGACGTAACTTTTTCAAAATTCAAAATGGCGGACGACTTTTCTAAAAATCGCTCAGATTCGCCTGAAACTAGTTACTCGGGGGTTTTCGGGGTCGCTGATTACGAATATAACTTCACTTTTTCAAAATTCAAAATGGCGGATCCAATATGGCGGACAATTTTTTTTTTTAAATTTTTGGATTCATGAAAAATAACAAAAAAATTTTTAATTAATTTAAATTTAAGTAATTAAATAATTTTTTAATACATTATTTTAATTTATTTACTAGTTTATTATTTAAAAATTAAATTAAGTCCTTCGTTTTTTGTTATTTATTAATTAATAAATTATTTAATATAACTTAATAAAATTAATGATGAAAGTTTTATTTTATTTAAGTAATTGCAACATCCGCTAATATTAACTATTAATTTTATTGTTGTTATTGTTATTATTATTATTTAATAAATTAATAATATGAATAATAATAATAATACTAAATAATTTACGGATGGACATATGCAATTCTTACTTATTTCTCGTAATGAATTATTTTTAAAAATTCGCGCGGTTTTCATTATAATTTCTTTTGCTACCGCTAGGTGTCGATGTTTTAGTTTCGAGAATCTCTCCTAATAATGACATAAGTTGAGGAATATATAAGTACGAGAAACCGTATATCTAGAAACTGTACAAAATGTATGTCCTTTTTGAAGGTAAGTGCTATACTCTTTATCTGACGATTCTCATTAAAATTAGTTTCTTTCAAAACTAAATGAGATCAGTCTTGATAAAGAAGCTATCGAATTGTTAGATCTTTCTATTAATAAAGAATGAATTCTAACACAAAAAAAGTAATTAGCTTTCAATCAGCCCTTTTCAGGGCTACAAAAATTGCATTGTCTTTAATGAGATTTTTTCAGTTATTTGATTGACTGTTCTCGCCATTTTCAATTTTGAACATCTGCTTTTAGATTCTTAATCAGCAACCCTGAAAACACCCAAATAATGAGTTTTAGGCGAATCTGAGCGATTTTTAGAAAAGTCGTCCGCCATATTGGATTCGACATTTTTAATTTTGAAAAAGTGACGTCATATTTGTAATCAGCAACCACGAAAACCCCCGAGTAACGAGTTTCAGGCGAATCTGATCGATTTTTAGAAAAGTCGTCCGCCATATTGGATCCTCCATTTTGAATTTTGAAAAAGTGATGTCATTTTGGTAATCAGCGACCCCGAAAACCCCAGAGTCATTAGTTTTAGGCGAATCTGGGCGATTTTTAGAAAAGTCGTCCGCCATATTGGATCCGCCATTTTGAATTTTGAAAAAGTGACGTCATATTCGTAATCAGCGACCCCAAAAACCCCCGAGTAACGAGTTTCATTAAGCTTTTTGAAAGCCATCGTCTAAAATGTCTATTTGTTTATATAATTTGTTTATAACAATTAAAAAATGGGTCTACAACACCATTTTACAATCCAGAGAACTATAGGTATAAGTTAAAATACTTAGCGTTAAAAAAATACCCATATTTTCGAGATAATAATAAATATGTAAAAAAAGTGCGTTTTTTTCAATTGTTTATACAAATTTAAATAATTATGCAAATTGAAAATCAAAAATCTGGCTCGAGCGATCTCTTAGCAATTTAATTAAGATTATTTAGAAAAAAGAAAATCTAAAATCGGTTAAGATTTGTAGACTCTAAGTTATTTTGAACCATACTTTTCAATTTCAAACCACTGTGCAGGTGACCGAATTCATTTCAAATCAGGCAGGCTAAATGTGTTAGGTTGTGAAACTCATTTTCACCTTTAAAATATTGTTTTACAAAGAATTTTAGACGACACGTATTTTTTTATTTTGCTAAAAAAAATTTATAAGGGTTTGAAGTTTGAAAAACGGAAACTTCTTTTCTTGAAAACTTGGGGGAAAAAATGTTTAAAGTGTTGTAACCTTTGAAGTATAATTAGGATAATTTACTGTTTCTTTTTGCATCTAAAAGGGTATTTGCTCGTCTTTCCAAATCCGTTGGAAAATTTAAAAAATATTAAAAAATAACAAAATGGCGACCATTATTAAAAAAAACTTTAAATTGAATTTATTCAAAAACCCCACCTTTTTTTTTTGCTTAAAATTTTTTTGGGAATTGTGTTCATAGGGAAGAATATTTTCCATAAGAATTTAAGTTGTGCCCGATTCTGGTACAAGAGAAAAAAAAAATTTTAATTTTTTTAAAGAAAAACATCATTTTTCTAAAAAAAACATTAGATATTCAAAAATTTCTTAAATAAAAATTGTTCCCCTCTAAAAAACGTCTTTTTTTTATAGGAATATGTAAATAATTAATAAACTTTGCTGCCACAAAGGTTCAAATTGTTGACATTTTGTTTATTTAATCAAGTAATAGCGAATATAAATTTTAGGAAATTTAAAAATCATTTGTGACGCGCAGCCAAGAAATGTACCTAAGAAGCAAAATTATAGGTTATGTTTGTTTTACATTTATCTCGTTTAAAAGTTCCTTTTTAATTATTTTAATTTAAAACTTTCGTACACGGAAAAAATTAATTTAGTACATTTTACGAAACTAATTTTGGAATAGCGGATACGGAGAGGAGTTTAGTATAAGATAAAACAGAATCAATAGTAATATATGATGACTGCGTTTCTCGAAAACTCAAAAAAAAATTCTATGGAATTCACAAATGATCGGTTGGACGTTCTAATTCAAGAGTTTTGTAAAATGTTTAGCCTGAAGCGCATGCGCCACGGAAAAAAATATTCACGGAGAAAAAAGCGAATAAAGCAGAAAAAAGAATTTCTTAATGTACCAATGAGCTCTCAAGACCATTTTTTCTCGTCTTCTATAGGAGATAGATGATTGGTTCGACACATGTGACTGCCCTCTACAACGCAATGGTTCGCTTGGATTGGCTTATTTTATTCTGACACTAACTTAACGGAAATACGCATACATATAAACGAATTCTGACGCAACGCACATACAATATAACTCGCACTTGTAGATGATAGAATTGAGTTTCTTTATATACTAACTAAGGAGATTAAAACTGCGCTTGTGAGAAATGTCAATATACTGAATATTAATTTTTAAAAAAATCATTTTTTTAAAAGTTATACAAAATATTTTATGGTTTTTAAAATAACATTTTTTGATTATAATTAGTTATAAAATCTCTATAAAATTTTTCAATTTTTAGAAAATAATTTTATTCTTAATTTTAAATTATAAATAAATTGACAAAAAATTTTCAAAATTAAATTCAAACTCAAAAAATGTTTATATTAAATTGTCTAAAATTTGAAGTAATAACAGTTAAAACTTGAGAAATTAATATATATATATTGTCATCGGTAAATATTATGATAAACTATAAAATTTATTGGACTGTAAATTAAAAGAAATTAATAATAATTAAAAGTTTGGATTACAAAAGCACATAAAAAATGTTACGAATTTGGAACAATGAAATGTGAAATACGTAAAAGAAAACAATTATCCAAATGTTACCGGCAGGTAAAGCAGTTCTCTTTTTCCTTCCACATATTATATCTATATACAGCAGACAAGTTAATACCGACGCGACGAGACAAGCTTCAACATATCTATTTATAACGCGACTTTTGGTACACCCCGTATAGAATTTTACGAAACTTTGTGTTCGAGAATTCACGATAGACAGCGAAGTGGAAACTCAAACCACGCGTTTTTAGATTGCACGAAACATTTTTACCATTTTCTGATAAAATGTTCACCAGAAAATACGAAACATTTCTACATTCAAGCTTGTTTTATAAATTACAACACTGGTTGCAGTTTCTCGACAATTGTTCTGCTTAAAGTAGTGAAAGTTTCTGGGTTTTTGAAAAACTTCGTCTAGGAATCTTAAATATCCGCTAGTGCGAAATTAGTTTCGTAAAATCTGCTGAACTTATTTTTTCCGTGTACTGTCAAATCTCCATAATAATAAATTCTTATTTAAATTTATGTTTTCCATTATAATGCGGTAAGTCGTCTGCTATCTTTTTTTATGTCTTATGTTGGAAATGCCTATAATGCTAAGAATATTTTCCTATATTTCTTTTGTAGTCCTGATGAGCCATGTTCTATGGCGAAAATGCATTTGAGAATAAATATTAAATTTATACACTAAAAAACTACATCTTCTTGGACCAAAGGCCACAAAATTATCCACTTTATTATTTATAAAATTAAGGTCCTTTAAAAAAACTTCAATTATTTAAGGAGGATGGTGACTGTCTTTTCGGGGCAGGCGGCGAGAGGGGAATTCACATGCTTTTATATGGGATTAAAACTGCAAATACCAACTGTTTTAATATATATTTTATAAGTGAAATATGCAATACTTAATATATTAGACATAAAAAATAGTATTTTTAATAATTCCAATTCATTATTCTTAAAAAACATTTTAAAAAATAATTATTTAATTACGTAAAAAAAATTTTGTAAAAAAATTTTATGAGCATGGAGATCGTGACAACAGCGCATTCCATATGCATGCTAGAAACAGTGTTGGTAACACTGAATAAGATTTCATTCGTATATGTTTACATTATACGACCACGAAGTAGTATAAGGAGACTTGACGGGCTGAAAAACATGGCCCCAAAACAAGGCGAAGCCTATCTCAAGTTTTCCGGTGTCCGACTGTTCAGCGCGACCTCCTCGGGAAAATTTACAACTAAGTGGTATATGTGGTTCGCCTGCTACCAATTTCAAATTAAAGAGCGCCCGTTAGAAATGTCAAAGATTGACTTTATTTATTCCAATTTTATAAACGAAATAAATTCTTTGTTTCTTGTCATATGATACCACTTATCAGAAGGTAATTGTGATTTATTAAATTTGATCTTACACTCTTCAAATGTAAGTTTTTCCATCGAATATTCCATGATTCTTTGTTTTTCTTTTTAATAATTAATAATATCTAAAAACAAAAATTATTTATGTATTTCCGTGTCTGTGAAAATCAATTACATAAATATAACCTAAAACAATAAACGTAAATACAGTCAAAAAAACATGATCTCTTTAAAAAATAATGCTGAATATTATTTGTAAAGAAAGTAAGCTTTCATACGTACTGTCAAATAGTCTTATTTTGCTCCCATAATTAAATAATAAGTAATTATTTAAATTATTATTTATGTCATTCAAATGTAAACACTTCACAGTGCTTTAAAAGCAGACGTCACTATTTAGTTGTAAATTTTCCCGAGGAGGTCGCGCGGAACAGTCGAACACCGGAAAACTTGAGATAGGCTTCGCCTTGTTTTGGGGCCATGTTTTTTTGAACTTTACATGGGCGTTAAGTCTCCTTATACTACTTCGTGTATACGACGTTGCCACGTTTCTGTGTATTATGTTAGAGAGGTTAGAAAATCTGTAATTTTACGCCAGTTTTAATGTTATTTCTAAAAATCAAGACAGTCGGTTTACTCAATTATTTTTTTAAATTATTCCAAAAGTATTAAACTTTAAAAGAGTATGATTTTTAAAAAAAGTTTAACTTTTTGACACAAGTTATTATCAAAATAGTGCACTTCACATAACACTCCCCATAAGAGCCCATATAAAAACATGCAATTTCAACAATTAAATTCTCAAAAACGGGACAGTAAAAAATTTTAAAAAAAATTGTTCTATAATTTAGACATTCTTAACAACGAGTTTTTCCAAATTTCAAAAAATTCTTAACATTTTTATTTGAGTCACCATCCTCCTTAATTTAAAACTTTGTTTTTATTGAATATTTTCAATGTAATGAAAATTGATCATCGATAATTTGTAATAGTGATTGATTCTCTTTCTATATTTTTACTCAAAAAATTGTAAACATAACCTAAATTTTTTTGATTCTTAGGAAGCTTTCTTGGTAACGCGTCATATACAGTACGAAAACCTACCACGTCAGTCATATCCCATGAGTGGGAGTGAGACAGACTTATGCGATTCCCATACTTTCCTATGACTGACGGATAGCTTTTCTTACTACTATTTTTGAAAAAAAATGGTATGGTTAAATTATTCTAGTATGGGAGTGTCATTATTATTTTTTTAACTTTAAAAAAATAATAAATTCTCATACAAAATTAATACAACTATACCTTTTGCTTTTTCAAAAAGAATATATGATTCTTCAATTTTCTAACATATATTACTCGCTAATACTTGGTAGATCAAACAATATGTCAACAATTTTAACCTTTGTGACAGCACAGATTATTATAATTATTTACATGTCTCTATAGAAACAAACAAGTTTTTCGAACTGATTCATGAAAAAGTCGTTCAATGATATTAAGAAAGCAATAAATGAGAACATATAATCATTTTTTTGCAAAATTCATTGAAACAAGGCAAGATATAGATAAAACCCTATTGAAAATCCCCATATGGGAAACCACATGGGATCCTATGTCAAAAACCATGTAAAACCCTACTTTCATGAAGGAAACCACGTGGTTTACCATGTGGTTTCCCATGTCAAACCATATGGGAAATTGAGACAGGATTTTAGTTAGGAATAGACATGGGGAATTTGAACAGCTCATCTATGCATAAAACCATATCAAATCCCACATGTTTTTCCCAGTCAAATCCTAAACCAAATCCCATGTGAAAAACATTATCCACCTTATTGAATATCCCTACATGGGAATCCACTTGGGATTTTACAAGGGATTTCACATAGGATTTTATATGGGAATTGACATAGCATTTCATGCAAGATTTCACCTAGGATTTAATGAGATATCACATAGTATTTTATTAAAGATCCAATGAAGAAATTTTCAAAGGATTAAAAATTATTTAATAAAAAATTAAATAATAAATAGTATTAGTGTTACAAGTCATCAAAAAAGTAAAAAAACGATCATTTGAAACACGTCCTCTCTGCTACAGGTTCTCAGCTTTTATATACTTCCAAAATCGTCTCAACAGCGAGAGAAGTCACTTTCGCCACCTAGCGGTGAAAGTATAGGAGCGACAGTAATCTTTAACATTACTAAGGAAACCATGTGGAATACCACGTAGGATTCCATGTGGTTTCCTACGTGGGGATTTACATGGGATTTTACTTAGGAATTTAAGTAGAAATAAATTCCCAAATGAATTCCTAAGTAAAATCCCGTGTAAATCCCCACGTAGGAAACCACATGGAATCCTACGTGGTATTCCACATGGTTTCCTTAGTAATGTTAAAGATTACTGTCGCTCCTATACTTTCACCGCTAGGTGGCGAAAGTGACTTCTCTCGCTGTTGAGACGATTCTGGAAGTATATAAAAGCTGAGAACCTGTAGCAGAGAGGACGTGTTTCAAATGATCGTTTTTTTACTTTTTTGATGACTTGTAACACTAATACTATTTATTATTTAATTTTTTATTAAATAATTTTTAATCCTTTGAAAATTTCTTCATTGGATCTTTAATAAAATACTATGTGATATCTCATTAAATCCTAGGTGAAATCTTGCATGAAATGCTATGTCAATTCCCATATAAAATCCTATGTGAAATCCCTTGTAAAATCCCAAGTGGATTCCCATGTAGGGATATTCAATAAGGCGGATAATGTTTTTCACATGGGATTTGGTTTAGGATTTGACATGGGAAAATCATTATAAATAAATGATACTGTTTTTCATTTGGGGATTGACTTGGGAAAATAATTATAAATAAATGATACTGTTTTTCTCATGAAATTCGGTTTAGGATTTGACTGGGAAAAACATGTGGGATTTGATATGGTTTTATGCATAGATGAACTGTTCAAATTCCCCATGTCTATTCCTAACTAAAATCCTGTCTCAATTTCCCATATGGTTTGACATGGGAAACCACATGGTAAACCACGTGGTTTCCTTCATGGAAGTAGGGTTTTACATGGTTTTTGACATAGGATCCCATGTGGTTTCCCATGTGGTTTCCCATATGGGGATTTTCAATAGGGAAATGACAAGAGACATTTTTTTAGATTTTTTAAAGAGAAACAATTTTTATTTAAGAAATTTTTGAATATCTAATGTTTTTTTTTTAGAAAAATGATGTTTTTCTTTAAAAAAAATTGAAAAAATTTTTTTTCTCTTGTACCAGAATCGGGCACAATTTAAATTATTATGGAAGATATTCTTCCCTATGAACACAATTTCCAAAAAAATTTTGAGCAAAAAAAAGGTGGGGTTTTTGAATAAATTCAATTTAAAGTTTTTTTGAATAATGACCGCCATTTTGTTATTTTTTAGTATTTTTTAAATTTTCCAACGGATTTGGAAAGTCGAGCAAATACCCTTTTAGACGCAAAAAAATTATCCTAATAAATTTTTAGATGCAATAAATTATCCTAATTACTTCAAAAGTTACAACACTTTAAACATTTTCGCCCCCAATTTTTCAAGAAAAGAAGTTTCCGTTTTTCAAACTTCAAACCCTTATATCTTTGAAAAAAAATTTTTTTAGCAAAATAAAAAAATTCGTGTCGTCTAAAATTCTTTGTAAAACAATATTTTAAAAGTGAAAATGAGTTTCACAACCTAACATATTTAGCCTGCCTGATTTGAAATGAATTCGGTCAGGTACATAATATTAAAATCACTCATAGCTATAATAGTAATTTAATTATAGTACATTGTGCAACGAGGACGCAAAGCGCAAGTTTCTCGTCCGAGCTTGATTTTGCAGTACGAGGCAAAGCCGAGTACTGTAAACAAGCGAGGACAAGAAATGCGTGCGTCCGAGGTACACACGACATTTTATACAAAAGCGAGAATGTAATCCGCGGTTACTCGGTGCGTTTTGAGAGGTAAAGCATGGCTTTGCGTCTCAAAAACGCGCCGAGAAAGCGGGGATTACATACTTGTTTTGTATAAAAACAATTATATTCATTGCAATGTATGAGATAGAGCTGTTGTAAAACTGATGTAAAATTGTTTTTTAGACTTTTTTATTGTGCTCGTCGACCACAATTCAGCACAAATTTTATTTTTTCGAAATTTTGATTTTTGGAAAATATTCAAAAAATTTTAGAGTAAAAAAATGTGATTTTCTTGAATAATTATTAACTTTTTGAAAAATTGTTATAAACCTTTTTTATTGTGCTCGCTGAGCACAATTCAGCACAAGTTCTATTTTTTCAAAATTTTGATTTGTGAAAAATGGTAGTATAAAAGAAATTTTTTTTAATTTTTAAAAATATTTAAATTTTTTTTCTAGCATAATATTTGTTATTGTTTGCTAGGTGTAGCACAATTTTTGTTTTTTAGTTCAATCAAAATTTTGTTGAGAAAAAATTGCAGAGGTGCGATTTTTAAAATGTGACAAAAATGTCTCTAAAAGAATCTATTTTAAAATATTTTTTTTCTAAATCTTTTAATTTGGTGAACGTTAAAAACATTAAGAACCGCAAGCATAACTTTATATTCTAAAACAAGCGCATTGATGCTTATAAGAAAAAATAATATAGTTCTCTGTTTTGTATCATTCCATAGAAATTAATTTTCGATCAGATTCTTCAAAAAATATATTTGACTGTCATAAAAATGAGAGAACATAATAAGTTATTTATTTAAACTATTAATTAATTAACCAAAATAATTTGAATGTTTCTTTATTCATTTATTTTTTCTGTCCCTCACACTTCAGAGTCTTTTCAAAGAATCAATTTAGGATTTTAATGTTAATGTTTATATAAAATTAATAATATAAAAAGAGTGCATATGCGAAAATTTCTGTGTCCAATTCTACACTTCAAATTAAATAATAAAAACATTAAAATTCAATCTTTTACGTCCGAGAAATAGTAATTATAGTGAAGGAGAATGAAACGAAAACTATTTGTCCGAATGTTTTCGTTTTATTCTCCTTCAAAAACATTAAAAACATAAAATTTTATTTAAATAGTAAAATTAATGTTATTGCTTTATTTAAAAATAACTTTATAATAAACATTTATTTACAAAACACATAGGGGAGCGTGGGGCAATAGGAGCTTGCGGGTAATGAGAGCTTTTAAATTTCATGTACTTAAAAGCCTAAAGGTACACTCTCACCTTACTGCCTGCCTGCCTGCGCAGGCAGACGCCATAAGAGTGTGAGAGCTAAAAACATTTAATTTGAATTTTCTGACTCTCTTACTCTTATGTGTTACCATGTCAACCTGCAGGCAGGCAGGCAGGCAGGCAGTAGGAGCTGTGCTAGCGCCTTTAAAATTCGCTGCAATTCCTAGAAAATCTTCGACAACCTTTGTTTATGTCATTCGAAAACAAACGATCACATTTTTGACAAATTTTTAGTAGGGGAGAGTAGGCTACATTGAACCAGGTTTTTTATAAAGTCCAAGAACTAATTAAATTTTACAAATTTTGATCAGGTTTTTGTATAAAAATAAAACTGAAGTACTCTTTCAGTTAATACACACGTTATAAATACAAATTATTATGATTAAATAATGAAATTTAATTTTTCTCTAATCAGTTACACTTTGGGATCATCCATAAACCACGTAGCTCCGATTTTTGAACTTTTCGACCCCTCCCCTCCCCCACGTAGCTTAACGTAGCATATTACCGAACCCCCTCCCCCCCTACCTAATGGAACGTAGCTTTTTTCTTTTTTTGAATATTAAAATCTCTTTTCTAAAAATAATCAATAAAATCGTATTGAAACATAGTAAACAATATTAAATGTTTTTAAATCACAGTTTATTTTT